GTACAAAGAAAGCACTCAGAAAAATTCTTGCCTATTTTATTCTGAAAATTGTTACTGCTTTGCTTTCACTACTATTCGTGTCCAACTGAACCATCTCCCACCCCATTGTTGCCTCAGTGGAGGGCCAGGCAGGGACCCAGCAGGCCACTGTGGGGAATGATGGTCTTGTTGCCTCCCCTCAACCCTCTAAAATCAGGACCCAGGGCTTGGAGGGGGCCTCAGGGCTGACTCACTCCCAGGGTAGAGAGCTGTTCCCTGAGTCACTTCCTGTCCCCTCAGGCCCTGCACCCCAATTCTGTCTTACCTGTCTCCAGGCACAGACATGGAACTGGGCCTTCTTCAGCCTCCCCAGGATCTGAGGCTGGGGGCGCTTCCTTCTCTGGGCCTCAGGATCGCTGTGGAAACTGGCCTAATCAAATGTGCACCTGAAGTGGCATAACAGGGCTTAGGCTGGTACTACTGTCTCCTCTGGTAATGGGGATTAAATAGTTCCCCGGGTGTGTGTGTTGTCCAGAGATTTAAATAAGTACAAGTGCCTGGCACTCAAACATTATAGTTATTATTACTATTATTGCTGTTGTTACTAATGTTTACAGCTTGCTCAAAGCCTCTATAGGCACTCTCAGGCCCTAAGAAATCACCCTGACCTGGCCTGGAAGGTGGGACCCTCCTCACTTGACAGAGAGGTTGAGGATCAGAGAGGTTGAGCAGTCTGCTCAGGGACACACAGCTAGAAAGGGGTGGCATTAAGGTAAGGCTTGGTCTGGAGGGAAAGTGCCCAGGTTGGACTCCTCGGGGTGCCTTTGGGCAACTGATTCAGCCTGTCCCATCCTCAGAACTCCATTAGTCAAGTGCGGGTGATAGTACAGCTCACCTCATAGGAGTTGTTGGGAGGGTTAAGAGGGTTAATTGACACCAGGAAAAGCACTCTCACGCCCGGCACAGTGAACACGCCCTGGCGGTCACTGTGGCTGTGGGGAGCAGGACTCCGTTTTTCTGTCTCCACGGGGGGCACGCTTGCGGAGTGGGCCGCGGGGGCTGCAGCGGATGGGCCAGCGCAGCTGTGGAGCGAGAGCGCCCTGGCTCACGGAGGAGCTTCCTGGGGTGGGCCCTGGGCCCGGGCCTGGCGCGTCTGGGCTCGGGTCCTGGCGGCTGCAAGCTTTCTGCTCACTCCTTTTCGGGTTAATACCTGGTCGACGGGTTCACCTGCTCGCGGCCGGCCGCCGGAAGTTGCGCAAAGCCTGTTACCTGAGCCCCGGGTGGGCCGGGCGG